TTAATTGCCGATTCGATCGGATGTTTATTACAATTCAGCAATAAATTGATATAAATTGCGTTGCAAGCCGCAGCAAAGGCAGACCTAAACCAGTGCAAGTACCTCTCGTTGGAAAAGCCCCTCTGGAATTAAGTCTCCCCAGTGCAAGTACCTCTCGTTGGGAAAGCCCCTCTGGGTATCTTCAGCCCTATCGTTGTCCAGTGCAATTACCTCTCGTTGGGAACGCCCCTCTGGACAAGGCATAAGGGTGACGATAAACTAATCTACAGTCCCCCAAGCAGCATTGACGTGTGGCTCCCTATAAGGACCCCTGTGTTCGAAGGGTCTTATAGGATTAGCGTACATGTAAGGTTATATTTGGGAAAATATATATCTATATTTTTATATAACCTGAGCGAGTTTCTCTCCATCAACCCCCAAAGCTACAAACCCCCCATGTCATCCCCGTAAAGCGGGCAGTTGTGACAATATTATTATCGCTATGTTCATCATCGCTTCCGTATTTATAGCAAACGTGACATCATCTAATTCGATTATGAGGTGGACTAGTTCCGAAAATTAGATACGAAATACTAAAGGGAGTAGAGGCATCGAGCTGAATCCCCAATACTCGTAAATTAACAATTCTGGCAGTATACAGAGTAAGTAATGATTCAATAGTTATATACTACCTCCACTCAGATCCATAACGATTTAAACCATTCTCTTGCCTAACATCTCTACGCCTGTCTAAGTTGACTGCGACCTGGACGCAGCGCCTTAGACCGCTCGGCTTAAATGACTTTCCAGATCAACACTCATGTATGCATGACTCTTCTTCCCTTGAATTGACGTTTTTCGTACTAGACGAATGGCTACCTGGTCCTGTTCTCTGGTGATTGCAATGCTGCCAACTGCCTTCCCTACGTTTTCGCGGATTGTCGCATCACTCGTGGTGCTCCTCTTGATGGAAATCTTTTAACTTTCTGGATCAGCATTAGTTGTAACTTACCAACATTCTTGTTCCTGGTCTTCCTTTCTTCGCTTGCCGGATTTTTCTTTTCTTTGATCTATTCTTGGCTTCCCTGATGTCGAAAAATGATTCGAGGTCGAGGTCACTCTCTTCCAGTTAACTACTTTCCAGCTGTTCGGGACTCCGCTGTTTATCCGCATTCAATCGAAAGTTTCTAAGAGAAACTCTTTCTAGCTTAATTCTGAGGTAGTTCTTGTCTTGATATGGGCATGCTCGGCGTTGCAAGATTTCGATCGGAGGTTGATAGTCATCAAAAGGAGAGCGAGATCTCAGTTATACTCTAAAGGCGCGTTTGAGGTGTCCTCTTCTTCCGCAGCGGCAACATTCAGAGCTCTTGTCCAAGTTACCCATCTACAACTGAGAGTCATTAAAAGGAAAACGAGATCTCAAACGTACTCTACAATCACGCTTAAAATGTTCCCTTCTTCCGCAGCAATAACATTTAATGCTGCCTTTTAAGTTTCCCAGTTTGATTCTGATCAAATACCTTCCGTAATTCTTCCAGAAACTCCTTCATTATGGTGCCGATTATTTCTCCTATTGGCTCCTTTCCTTTACGAATCGACAGAGCTCTAATCTTTGCTTCAGAAATTTTATGCCTCGATTTCTAGGGCCTTGATTAGAACTTCGCTGTTATTCGATGGTTTGGTTATGAGCAGTATTTTCTGTACATCCATATCTATTGGTGGCTAGTTGTTTTCGCATTTCTGCTGCTGCATCCGGATCGGTTGAAATAACCAGACGGCGGATGTCGGTTTCAAATTCTTGTTAGACTTTCTGTTGTCTTGTTCTAAGTTGTATACCTGGTAGAGCTTCTTTCCACGGGTTACGTGATGCTACAATCACAATCAACCCTGTAACCATGTTATCCGGAGATCCAGCTATTACCCATTGCAACAGTCTCGACTTGACGTATGTACATGGCTTACGATGTCTGTCGTCTGTCCGTCATACGGTGGTGGTTTAGCTTTAATTCTGGTCATAGTAGAGGCTGAGACAATTACTGACCACAATTCACATTCCAACTTTTTAATCTCCTTCGTCAGCTTATCATTTTGCACTTCCAGAATGTTCTTGAGTCTAGTGGAGTATTAAATGAATCAGTTATAGATAGCAATATCCTGGGAAGAAATGCTATCCTCTCACTGGATACACAAACATATCAATATGGATCAAATTAATATTTTATAGTATCCTTGAGAGGTTATAGACGAGGCCCTAAAAGTCCTTATACGGCCTTCACAAATGTATCAAAAGGGCAGGTTGCAAAAGAAGAACCCGGGCTTTTGGGATAAAGGATGGAACAGAAATTTGTGAGCAGATTTTATCTATAGTAATAATAACCTATGGATTAGCAAAGCATTACAGTTGAGAATAGAGCAAAAAAATCACTGAGAGGTATTGAAATAGATTATTGAAGTGTTGATCTTCATGCAACGCTGTTTCTGTTTAATATGCAGTTTGCATTGCAATTTCTCTGTGACATTTTATGTTTATTTCGTTATATTTTTTTTATCTATATTATCTAGTTTATCCATGTCATCCTCCTTTAAGGTGCAACTCCTTCATTTTTGTTGTTCGCTTTACTTTGGCATATTGATAGCGTTGCTCACTTTACTTCAGATTCATTAGTCATGCAATTTATTATGATTTAGGAGAACTATGCATGATTTTTCAACATGAGGAGACCATTTCTAATAATTGACAAAGTTTCAAAAATACATGAAGGCAGCACAAATTAAAGTTTCACTTATATATTCTTATTGCAAAATTCCTTTCAGGAATGGTAGTGAGGAAATCGAAAATAAGTCGTTTTCTTATTCTTTTGACAGGTTAGGGTTTCTATCAAAGTAGCAAGTTGACGTATTTTATATTGTATTTGTAGAACTTGAATTGATTTTATGGTTTTGTAATTTGTTTTTTGACATTTTTCGTCTACAAAACAGCATGAAAATTTCGTGTTTTCACAATTTAACAGAAATATCAAAAATACTTTTAGGACTATGTGAAAACCTGCAAGAGCACTGGCTTTTAGGCTACATCGAACTGTCAAGTAAATGCAGACTATAGAACATATCAAACTAAGTCATCAAGCACGAGGCAATCATGAGAACTCTACGCCGACGAGGTATTGATAAAACATGCTGCAGATAGATAGACTACATGCTTCGAGGTAGAGTCATCCACGCCACGCTCCTTGGTAAAACAGTGACGGCTCGGGTTGCAAAGGGCGGAGTGTTATTACCCCTGCTGTGGAATTTGGTGATAGAGCTACTGAAAAGTAACAGACATCAAGTAGTGGGATATGCAGATGACTTGGTCATAATATTCCAAGGAAAATTCAATCATACAGCTAGAGATCGTATGCAGCAGGCTCTAACAATGGTCTCTAGGTGGACAGAGACTGTAGGATTGAAAATAAGTGCCACCAAATCGACGATTGTTCCCTTTACCGAAAGAAGGAAAATGGAGGAACTTGGATCTTTTTACCTTCAGGGAAATCCAGTTACGATGTCGGACGAAGTTAAATATCTTGGGGTAATCATAGACTCAAAATTAACTTGGAACACACATCTGGACAAAGTAATTAAAAGGTCAGAACTGGTACTTATACTAGCCAGGAGAATTTTCGGAAAAACCTGGGGACTGCGGCCGGACATGATGCACTGGCTATACACAGCCTACTAGACCTACCGGCGCTACACATTGTGATTAAGACGGAAGCCAGGATGGGCCTCCACAGACAAACCTGAGCAAACTAACAATCAGATCAGGCCACACACAAATAAGGCAAGTCATAAATCTGACAGTATTCGACATGATAACTGACTATGCACTTCCCAAATACTCACCCGACGTATCCTTCCAGGTCCTAATCAGTGAAAGGGGTGAATGGGAAAAACAACATGCACTCTCCAATCCCGAAGGTGAGAGCTGGTACTCGGGCGGGTCAAAGACGGAGAATAGCACAGGGGCAGAAATCTACAGTCAAGAAGGAATATGCGAGATCTTACTCTCTCTAGGGTCACATACATCTGTTTTCCAGGCAGAGGTATATGCGATACTACAATTCGCAAGAATCAACAATATAAGGGCCTGAAAAAACGGGTGACTCACTTTACTCCTGAGTAAACCAAGACAAACAGTCAGGTAGCACTGGGAGCATTGAAGAACCCTAAGGCAAACTCTGCACTGGTAATAGAATACCAAGAAAAACTCAACAACTTGGCGGACCAAAATAACGTCACATTGATGTGGGTGCCAGGACATAAAGGTATCCCGGGCAACGAAAAGGCTGACGAACTTGCACCCAAGTGGTCATCCACAGACTACCTTGGTCCCGAACCAGCTCTCGGAGTGCCCAAAAGTACAGTAAGAAAGGAGCTGAAGGTATGGATGAAAGCAAAACATGCTCAATACTGGGAGCAATTACCCAAGCATGCACATGGGAAAATTTTCATACGTAAGACATGCAACAAAAGAGCAAAAAGGCTGCTACAACTAAGCAGGAATCAACTCAGAGTAGCAACCGGCTTTCTTACTGGGCATGCTCCAGTAAAGACTCACCTGCAAACAATGGGCTTGTACAACGGAGGCACGAGTTGCAGACTATGCGGAACAGAGACTAAAACCGCCCAACATATTTTATCAGAATGCGATGCACTAATTCGCAGAAGACAAAAGATCTAGATAGATCTAGACACATATGGCAAACATCCAACAGATCTACTTCGCCTACTGCAGGGAACCAGGGTTTTTGAATGGATGCAGTAAACAGAAAGATTCAGCACAATAAGCCTCCGGCTGCAGCGCTACTCGGAGTTTAATCAGACGACTTCCCCACCATTAAAGAAAAAAAAGAAAAAAAAAGTCATCAAGCAGGCTTGGCTGCCCAGTGCAAGCCAGGTACACCAAATGAACACCACCATGAATACTAAATGTGGCAAATGCATGAAACCTATTGCATAGAGTGGGGAAGATATCCTTTTCATAGTCTCCGTGCTTTGGCTGCAGCATTTTCTTCTTGTAATCGTCTGCTCTCCAGTTTCTGATCATCTTTCCTTCACATTTGTTTCAACATTTTCTTGTTTACATCTAGTTCGTGAATTTAGTTTATTACTAAGACGGTTTGAGAATTTTGATCCAGGCGCAAGTAGAAAGGGAGTGGAAGCAAACCATTCTCAGTAGAGAATAAAAATTCGGTGCCAGTCAAATCGGAAACCTCAATTTCTCATTACATTCTTTACCTTAACTCGAGACCCCCAATGTAATGACCACCCACAGTTACTAGTTCCGTTCTGATTTAAATGGTAATCAATCAGGACACGATCATTTAGGGAAAAGACAAGAAACGGATAATCTCAAATGAAATGTTTTGTGGAAGGAAATAAGACAGTCAGATTTTTGATCCAATGGACAGACGAGATAGTCATCTTTATGGAAAGTTTAAAAATGCACTCCTCAACAAGACTTTCTGGATTGTTGCCGGTTTATAATACCAGATTAAATTATTATGAATATTTATTTGCTAAATTTAACAATTCCTACTTGGCTACTTTAATCTAAATATTAAAATAAATTCCAGATTAAAACGTCTCAGCATTCAAATTTCTATGCCAGGTTGGAATCCAAACCATCCAACTTAGCAAACATTAAGTATAATCTGTTAGGCACTGTTTATTCTCAGACTTTCAAACTCTTACAGCAGGATAGAAAATTATTATAATTTTTTTTTAATTAGCAGTTTGGCACGTTTTTACATTCAAAGTACGGGGTGCAAAAAGGATGATGACAGTCCTTCCAACTATCCAATAACCGTGAAAAAAACCTTAACGGCGGACTCGGTCAGTAAAAGCAATTAGTAAGAATTTATAAAAAGTTCAAAACTTGAAATCAGCTCATGGGATGGTTACGGAAACTTGTGCTTTGCCCTTAGATTTCAACAAATCCATCTTTTTTTGTGACAAAATATCAAAGTGTTCTATGTGTAAATGTCTATTTCATCAATTATTTCGCTTTCATTGTTGGGATCGAGGTTGGGATGGAATACCTATCTTGTCGATATAGGATCTAGGTACCCTTTTTGTGTCATATAAGCTACAGAGGCCATTTTAGGCCTGCTCCACCAATTTCTTTTTTGCTTTTCAAAGTAGTTAATCTACCCTTTGATCTTTTTAGATTCATTAATTAATTTTCAATTGGTTGATTTTTCCTTCGGGTCAGGCTATTTATCATACTAATTACAGTATTCAAGATTTTATTTCACGTTTTAAACAAAAGATAAATTGCTTATTATTACTTTCAAAATGGAAGGGTAATTTACTGGCGGCTACTGCACGGCGTGGATTACGCAGTTCGTTTATGAATTCAAACTGTGTCATCCGACCTGAGCCGACCTACATAGACCCTTGACTTAATTAATTTCTTGCAAAAAACAAGGAAAAGCCTCCGTCATTCCGACGCATTTAATTGAATTATCGCCTCTTTTTTGCATGTTTTTCTGCTGGGAAAACGGAGGCGCGAAGCAAAACTGTCATAAGAACTTGCCGACAGTTGTTTGATTTAATTTAAACTTTACTTAAGGCCGCAATAACCCCCCTTCAAATTAGATTTCGGTTCCAAAAAAAAAAACATAGATGGCAGCGCCAAGATTCAATATTTTCAGTATTTATAATATTATAGCGATTTCAATTTGCAGAATCAGTGCAACTTTTCTCACTCAGTTCGCACTGATTGCCGAATGGAAATAGCCAATTTTGCCTGGCCAACCACAATGCTCAAAGTTGACCTTGATATACTTATTTTTCCTATTTTATTTTATTTAGGAAAGAAATGGGACTTAGATATAGGTTTAAAGAACAGGTTTTTGTTTATGAAGAAATTGCCTTGTTTTGATTTCGGAATCTTTTTACTAAGTAATTAATTTTTTGACTATTTTGGAAGGGATAATGAAAAACAATGTAGTTTATTATTATTGAAGTTATCATCGTTTTTCGCTTTCAATGTGCGTATTACGACCTATGTCTGTCTTTGTTTATTTTTTAGTATCAGACAAAGATCAAAGAAAACCTTTCACTCGTTTGATTGGACCGTCGTTGAACTTTGGACTTTGGCGATATAAACACAGATCAAGAAACACAGATAATGATATAATTCGAAATTTATTTTGATTTGTTTTGCGGGATAATTTTTTTTGTGGCAAAGAATGCAATGTTTACATCCTTGGTGTTTACTCACAAGTTGCAAGCAATTTTTACCGGACTATTTTTTATATTTTTGGATTTTCTTTTGTGAAAGACTGGGACAATCAGTGAAAGAAAATTACCATGTTCCTAAAAAAAATAGTAGAGTTGAGTAGAGCGCAGCAAAAGCTAAGTACCGCGATTTCCTTCCTAAAAGCACAGGAAAGAAAAATAATTTCAAAAATTTGGTTTTATTATCCTACACTAATAAATTTTTATCCAACTCTACTTTTGATTACTTAGGTATGCAAAATGGTTCATTATTATATTACGTATGGTCTTGCAAGAACATTTCTATGCAAATAGCCGGAATGCTGGTGGAAGCTCTAGAGCCAGTGTGTTCAAAGAGGTAAATTACAACTTAGATTTCAGGACGTATCCAATTTATGACTATTATTCTGCAATTAAATTATATTGCTTTTTTGGGTGCCCCTGCAATAAGCAGCTTTTGTAGGTGCAAGAGGCAGGCAAGCTGATTATAGAAAAAACATACATACATAACTAGAAGAAAGAAGCTAATTTTCAAGATCAAGAAAACCCAAACACAATCTTGTCTAACGTGTTATTACCACAGATATTACCAGTATCTCAAGACCAAGAGAGCAACTGTGTTATTATGTGTTAAAATTTATTCATGGAAAAAAAATATACACATAGTTATATTACAAGCAGGTTTCAAATGTTCTTGAGCGCTACAAAAATGAAGATGACACCCGTATTATGGACAAAATAATTTCAACTGGCATCATTGATCCCCTTGACATGTAAGCCAATAAACTAATACATACAATGCTAATACTAATGCCCAGTTGTACAATCTCGGTTCAAAATAAAGTTCAACTGAACTCGACTGGTACTTGAGCTTTCCCATTTAAAATACATTGCTGTCAGCTAGAAGTTAAAGTAGGTACCAGTCAAGTTCAGCTGAACTCTGCTTTGAACCAAGATTGTACAACTGGGCCTAAGTATCTTTTTAGATTTTTGATTCTAGCAACCTCCTCATGAAAGAATATAATGTATCTTCTTCTGTCTACAATTTGAACAAGACCCATAAATGTATATTATGTTGCCTGATGAAAAGCTTCATGGGTTCTCATTTATAAGCCAAAAGGAATATAATGAGTTAGATGAAATATTTATAAACACATTATAGAAATTGAAAGAACACTAAAGTCTAGCTGTACAATCTTGGTTCTAAATAGAGTTCAGCTGAACTCGACTGGTACTTGAACTTCCCCATTTGAAATGCATTGCTGTCAAACTTGTTAAAATTGATTAATAGCTGATAGCAATGTATTTCAAATGGGAAAGCTCAAGTACCAGTCGAGTTTAGCTGAACTATGTTTTGAAACGAGATTGTACAACTGGGCCTAAGAAAACACTCGACAAATATCTTAGGAAACAGAATTGTTGATTTCTGGCCGCTTCCACCAACTATTTTAGGGAAGCCTCAACGATAAGTATTCCCTAAACTGACATTTCTCCATGGAAAACTATCATATTTTGGTTCCACAAATATTTAGCTTGCAAGTTAGTCGAAATTTTACTTTTGCTCGAGAGCAATAATTGTCTAGCAGTTTAAAAAAATTAAGTTAAGCCCAAAGGTGATAGTCAGATTTTAAATTTGAAAATGTCATCTCGTAGAGTTGAAGAAGTTTTTATGATGAAGTGACATTTATTTTGAAATATCTCCTCAAATGAGCTCAGAAAAAAATAAAATCGATTTTGCAAAATTTCGTTTTTTTCTGGATATCTCAGAAAGTATTCGGAATTTTCCAAATGTAAAAGTACCATTTTATTGAGCAGTAAATTGCGTAACTTTTTCCTAATCTAACCAACATTGTAACTCCAACCGATCTCTAGATCCTAATGCTATCTCATCCTTATCTTGGACACACTGTATATCAACGCACATGGTGATGTCGATAATTTAAAAACTCATTTGAAAAATGGGCCTTATCATGTTTTTGGAAAACACCTCAAATTAAGTCCTTCATATTGTCAATGTAATGGATATTTTAGCAATAAAGTAGGAGAAATGGAGATTGCTGGGATTTTCAATCGGATAACAACCGTGTTTAAATGAATTGTGGTAAGCCAGGGCCACAAGCTGATTGATAATGAAACAAAACAATGGAGCTGTGATGTTTATGTCTGCAAACGGTTAACTGCCATCCAAAAAAGTTCCTTGCAGACAAGAGCCTATTTGTCTGGACTTGGGTACAATAAAGGTGCAGATTGGCTAAGCTCAACTTGGCTGGACTAGAGGCGAACGGTGCAAGGTACTGCCTTTCAATCGTTTGTGAAAAAATGCAAGAAGCCACATGAATATGACAATGCACGTAAAGCGCAGATTCCACAAGAAACCTAAAAATAAAGTTTCAGAAGAAGCAGTAGGATATGGGCCAAATTCCACACAGGCTTCTCTGACAGAGGAAGAGTTTCAGTCTGAGAGAAGAAGGCTTTTGAATAGAGAGTAGACTGAAGGTATGTTTATCTCCAGGAGTATCTATGCTTTTCAGATATTATTGGCGTAGCATTATCCATGGAAATTTGACAGGTTGACCCTCGTATAATAATGACATTTGATTACAAAGTATTTTTTAAATTTCAGGGTTAAAAAAAAGAGAAAGCGAAGTTGCCAGAACGGGTAAAATATCTGAGTAGATTCGATTCCAAAATATTTTTCCAAATTAATGATTTTTTTTTAAAATGGGAAGGTTACTTAGTAAAATGTAAAATTATTTAAGTAATTTATTTGAAATAAAATAAATCTAACGTAATCATAACAATAAGCTAACAGCATAATAGTTATTTGT